ATGGAAAGACTTGTTGATTCTTGTCATAGGAAAAGAATTTTTTTAGGATGTGAGAGCCATAGAATGGATTATTAGACAAAATTAGAAAGTAATAGACAATTAGAAGAGGCTAAAACTTCCGGAGCTGAAGGAGATACAGTTCTAAGATGAGAATTGGATTGGCCCATTTACAAAAGAATGAGACCAGGTTTTAGAGGTTTTCTGGGGTGGTGAAGAGACTGACAATTTTCTCATTTTAGGTTTACAAGATGTCTTGTCTGCATGAGATGATTATTTCCTCTTGGGACAGTCTCAGTTGTGTAGAGGCTCTGCTGTAATTTAAAGTGACTACAGTTTCAGGTGATAACTTGAGATTCCTGAGTCCTTTTTGGTAGTTGAATGTCCTTGGAAATCTTTTACCTCGATGACATCAGTTTCGAAGAGAGAAGAGATATGTTACCTAAATTCAGGGCTAATGTTTATATGCAGGGTTGAGTAAGGATCTGAACCAAAGTCTTAACATAATAAAGGGAACATAACAAATGAAAGTCAAATTTTGTTCTGGTTTTCATTACCTAATGGGCATCTGGAAGCCCAGGTAAAGGGTCATTGCTCTTCACCAAAAAACCAGCTATCAGGCCCGTAGTTGCCTCAGAGAAAACACAAATCATGCTTCTTATGGCTTGTATCTACATTTCACCCACAGCTTTACATCTCCAGTCCAGCTTTTTGGAGATGGCTGAATCTAGTGTGTGTGAATATGGATTATGGGTGTGGAATAATGAGATTTGCCCATTGATTGGATTAGTACAGATCCAGGTAGGACTGAACTGATTTACTGAAGATAGTAGAATATCTATCCTATGGGTGAATGGCACCAACCAATCAGTGTGTAGCCTAGATGGAATAAAGCGGGGAAGGAGAAAGAAAGGTTTGCTGCCACTTATCTGCCATGCCATGAACTATCTCTCCTTTGCTGTACTGCCCTGCCTTGGAGCCAGCTGACTATGGACTCGAACTTGTACAAACTGTGAGCTAAAATAAACCTTTTCTTTTTTAATTTGTGCGTATTGGTGTTTTGTCCCACCAATGAGGAAGTCACTAAGAAATTGCTTTTTAATGAGCAGCAGTTTAATAGCCCAGGAATTTGTCCTTTGTACAGAGTCCCAGGAGTCTGTCCCCCTGACTGTTTCATTCCATGTGATCCTTTGTATATAAACAAAGCAGATGGCTCTTACTTAGATATTATCCTTAATTGGTATTTTAACATAAAATTATGCAAGAATATGAAGTATATTATTTGCTCATGGTCTTTCACTAAGAAAGTATATCTATCCTCTTTTAAAAGGGAAATATGGCAAGTTCCAGAGTACAGGCCTTAGTCTCATTTAAGTAAAATGAACACAGACCTGCAGTTGAGGAGTATGTGTGTGTGTGTGTGTGTGTGTGTGTGTGTGTGTGTATGGGGGGGGGGTATGTACGTGTTTAACTTTCTAGGCTGGGAATCCAGGAAAACTTAACCCTAGTTAAGAATTCACCAGCTACTATATTTCTTTAGAGAATTTACTTTAATGTTACATGTACAATTCCTATGAGTTGCCACACTTATGTAAAGATTGACTAAAGGGACAGATTTCCTTAGTCTTTTGATATTAGGAAAAAACTCAGCCCCAGGGAACACTTATGGAGACTTAGATAGATGGAGATAGCTGGAGACTTAGATAGATGAAAAGAAATTAGAAGAGTTTGAAGCCTTGATTTCAAAGAATTTAGGGAATGAGGACTGATTATAGCCTTTATTAGAATTTGACAGAAGTGATTTTTCTTTACTTCTCTGGGAAGGCTGAAAATCAAATTAAATGAAGCAATTGATGTGAAAGGAGGTTATAAATAGTATGCTTTATATGAAGGTGTGGTAGTCACTATCTTGGCTAAGGTAGGCTGTCTCCTTTCTTGGGGAATCTTTCCCAAGGCTTGGTTAATTGGAATGAATCCTCAGGTGCCAATAATATATTCACGAATGGAAAAAGGCTATCTCTGTATTTTCCTTTTGCAATGGTATATTAAGCTTTAAGTATGCTACCAAAGCGCAGTATAAGCAGAGGGACTAGATTTGAGAACATACATTTTGCAGATTTCTTTTCCTAGAATCAAAACACAGACTACTCTTTGCCTAAAGTATTTGTATTGCATTTTACTAGCTCTAAGACTTTTTTTTTTATAATGAAGAATAGGTAGCACCTCCTTTAAAAATGTTAACTCACATACAAAAATTGTTAATTCAAATGCAGCACTCTTTTTATGGAAAGGTTTTGAAGCCTGCTCCTGAACAGAATTACAAATGAAACTCTTGACAGCAAAGTAGACAATGAACTGATTATATTTAGGTCGCCATTTAATTTATATTTTCAAAATCAGTGGGAAAATCATGATCAAAGACAGGGTAATTCATACAGATATTGTAAGACCATTTCATGTGATTAAGTTCTGTAAACAGTCTTTGATTCAAATGGTGCACATGATGAAAAAAATGTTCCACTGGTTCAGAGTTCCTTCTGGCAATAAACGTTCAGTGTAAACATGAAGACTAAGTCCTCTTGAAAACTTAGAAACAAATGATACTCATTGCCTTGCACTTAATAATTCTGATTTTGAGAAAAGAGTTGGAATGATTAGTAAAAATGTTTGAATCCTAAATTTAACATGAGGGTTTAGTACCATTATTGTAATTGAAATTCCTTTTGGGGGGATTCCACAGCAGTTTACTGAAAGACTGGGAAAGGTATATATTATATACTACCTTTAGTGAGAGCTCTAAAATTATGGTTTAAACAATCTGACAATTGCATCGTTATTAAAGAAAAGAACCAGGAATTCCAACTCATCATGCTGACTGATACTGAACAGGGAAGAGTATTAGCTTCCTCAAAGTGGAAGAATGTCTCTTTTGGTATTGGGAATCAAACTCAGGACCCAGTGCTTGTCAGGCAGGCACTTGTGCCTGCTGAACCATAGCCCCAGTCCAAGAAGGTCATTTGCAAACGTGTTGTCCATTGTAATTAGGAAAAACAAATGCTACAGAACTTTTTAGCTGAGTTGATGGCTATTTTTTATGACAAAAAAGTGTATCTTGTCTCTAATTTGTATTTAATACTAATTGAATGGGTAAATCAAGTGTAGAAGCAGCACACAATCAAAATAAATTTGAAATAAATCCCTGGATTCTTTTTTTTTTTTCCTAAAATGAGAAGTATGCAGTGAGCAACTTCATAGCAGGCCACACTATATAGAGTATGTTGGATATGTAAGCAAGTGTAAGATGGTGATCACACTTTTTGTATCCTTAATGCTCATTTAAAATCTGAGAATGAGGCATGTCTGAGTGGGAGTGCATTCTTCCAAATTTTTTTTAAAAGAAAAACTGAAAAAATTGTGTTTATATTCTCATGAACAATTGGAAAGATTTAGAATTAGAAACAAATTTGAGGTGGTGTGCAGTAAGTTCTGTTTTTAAACAAATAGTTTAAACAAACCCATCAGCCATCACCTGAATCAATCCTTTGGAAAACAGAAACATGTGACTCTCAGGAAAGTGGGGGACTAACATTAGGTCTCTTGAACTTTCCCTTTCACTCGTGGGGAAGGTCTGGAGAGTGCTCATCTGCTATGCTATGAGGAAATCACAGCCTGGGACTGTCCTCCTCCCCTTCTTCTGGACCCTTATCCAAATGTTAGAAGGAGCCCAAAGCTTTTCTGGAGCTATCTCGCAAGGACAGTAGGGTCAAACACTAGGAAGGACTGGCTACAGTGAGGCAAGTTTTAGAATGAAAGCGCTTCAGTGAAAACTCGGGGCTAGAGATGTGCGGGAGCCCTAGGGAGTCTGTCCTTGGGTTTGAAATGCCTGTTTTTCTTCTCTTTAGCTTTCTGAGCAGCATCTGCAGCCAAGGTCAAACAGATCGCATATTTGGCGCCAAGAGCTGAGAGGCCGAGGGATGAGGGATTCCTCTCTAGTTTCCTGCGGGCCATGTCTTACATGGTGGAGTCTGCAGAACAACGGTTTTCTTGGCCTGTCTGCCACACGGGCACACGCGGCTGCAGGTGGCAGGCGGAGCTGTCCAGCACTAGTGAGGAGCCAGCAGGAGGCGAGAGCCCGCGCGCCCCGCTGGCCAGGCTAAGCAACAGGGTTGTTGCCCGAGTAGACGCTGTCCTCGCTCGCTGCCTCCGGGTGCAGGGCTCGCTCGGGCGCCTACACAGCCTCGCCCGAGGCGAGAACGCAGGTCCTCCCTGAGCCGCTCCAGCAGGATGGGCGCCAGCGTGTCGCCCCTGTCCTTCCCGCCCCTGTAAATGAACCTCGCCGGCCTTCTCTTTCACCCCCGAACTTCCAAAATAAACTCATAGAAGAGAGCAGGGAAGAGACCAAAGCGGACCCTCAGCCCCAGTCTGGCTTCCCCGAGGTGGCTCTAGGGGGCGATCTGCGCCCCCAGCCCCGCGTCCCCTCCTCGCCCAGCAGCCTCCCTAGGGCCCAGGGGTGGGACCCTCGGGGCCGACCACCCCCGTCCCACCCGGGCCTCGGAGCGCCCCTCCTCGTAGCCGCGCAAGTGGCCACAGGGAGGGCGCGCAGAGGACAGCGACGCAGTGTCCTCGTTGCTCCTGAAACGTGGCGACAGGCAAGACAGAGACTCGCAATGAGTATGATGGCGACACGTGATACCGGCGGAGGGAGAGCACGGTGGGTGGGGATAAAGGAAGCGGGGAGGCGGCGGCGAGCGGAGAGGCGGGAGGCGGAGAGGGGAAGGGGCGAGACCGGCGCTGGCGGCGAAGCCTCCGCGTCAGCCTCAGCTCCGAGCTCCGAGCTCCGCGGCCGCGGCGCCCGCCCGGCCCCGCTCGCAGCCCCGCGGGGAGCGCGGCGCACGGCGCACGGCGCACGGCGCACGGCCAGGCGGCGGCGGGAGGCAGCGGCGGCCCCTCGCCGGCCCGGCCCGGCCCGGCCCCGAGCTCGGCGGAGCCCCGAGTTCCCGCCATGGGCCCCGGGGACCCCAGCCCGGCCGGCCGCGACCGCAGCGCCTAACGCCGCCCTCGCCGGTCGGTCCCGCGCCGCCGCCGCCGCCCTCGCCCGCGTCCCCGCGTCCCCAGCGCCGCCCGCCGCGGCCGCCGCAGCGCAGCCCCCAGCATGTCTCGGAGGAAGATCTCGTCCGAGTCCTTCAGCTCGCTGGGCTCCGACTGCCTGGAGACCAGCCCGGAGGAGGAGAGCGAGTGCCCGCTGTCCCGGCTCTGCTGGAACGGCAGTCGCAGTCCGCCCGGCCGGCGCGAGCCCAGCGCGGCCGCCGCCGCCCTCGCCCCGGCCCCGGCCGCTTCCGCCGCCGCCGCCGCCTCGGCCGCGTCCGGGGCCAGGAGGGCGCAGCGCCGCCGGCGGGTCAATCTGGACTCTCTGGGCGAGAGCATCAGCCGCCTGACGGCGCCCTCGGTGAGCGGGAACCCGGGGCCGCGTCCGGGGAGGGCACGGGGCTCGGCAAAGTTGGAGCCGCGGACCCGGGCGAGCGCGCCCTGCCGGCCGCTGGGGGGCGGCCCGGCCTCGTCCTGCGGCCTAGGGCTGCAGCGACCCGGGGGGACCCGAGCCTCGCGCTCCAGTTAGGGCACCCTAAGTACCCACAGTCCGCGCCTGCCGGGTCTCCGGGCCGTGCGCCGGTCTGCCCGCCTCTGCATGGACCCGGCGTGGCCCCTGTCCCCTCTCATGGCCCCAGGGCTGCTGCCCACCCACCTGTTCTCTTTGCCCCAAACTTTCCCAGGCCCCTGGTTCTGCAGTTCCATTTCCAAGTCTTTCATCTCTGCTCTCCAGCCTCCCGAAGGAGCCCCGAGCCCTTACAGGAAGCCCTTCCTCTCATTTCCCACGCGCTCTTGGTCTGAGCGTGACCTTCTGTGACATCTTTGAATTCCACAAGCTGTCTCCCTTTTGCAAGTCTTTGGGAATTGTCAGAAACTTTTCTAGGTTGGTTTCTGATGGCAAACCCTAAAGTGTCTTGTTCTCTGCCTTTTTCTCTTATTCACTGGGCATTTATGGCTCAGTCTTCTTTGGCAAGGCTGGTGTGATTTTCTACACTTGTCTGATATTTCTATTTTCCCTTCCTTGGATTCTTCCGGGCTTTCTTCCTTACTTTTTTCGTGCCTCTCTTGTATTAGGCTCTTCATAAATATTTGTTGAATGAATAAAGGCCTTCCAAGACTTCTCCAACTTGTGCTAATCTCGGGATTCAGCTGTTCTAGAGACATATCAGACTCTCCCTGGCTTTCCGTATTCCTTACCATTGCAGGAATGCTAGACTCTAATCCAGTTTTCCCTGTTGGGGCGAACTCTGTTTTCAAGGAAACCACTGTATGGCAGACAGAATTCAAGGGGATTCAATACGAAATTTCCATCCACTTCTTATCCTCGTGCAGATCTTGGAAACAAAGACTTTAATTCCCCCTATTCATCACAGAGACATTATCTCTTTCAAAGTTTCATAATGAACCTAAATGTTGGTCTTGTTTGATTCTTCTTCAGTTTCTCTGTTGAATATACCTTGCAAGCTATGGGAGGAAGGACCTGAGGAGTGGACCAGTGAGGCACCAGGTTCTGGTACCAGGCAATCTTACAAGTACACAGTCGTACTTATTCTTATAGCAGTGACACTCCTTTTCATTTGTCGTCTTCGTTTATATTTTACCCTTTAAAATACCTATTGCCACGTTTCCACTTGATAATCCAGAAGGAAAACCCACAATGGGTTGGTTGCTGTTAGCTATTCTTTTCCGGAAATATTTCCCAGGCAGCACAATCTCAGGTACCATTCAGTGTTACAAATTGCTGAACATAATGCTTTACCAGAGGAATCCAGTAACTATATCTGCAGCAACGTAGGTGCAGTACATTAATTCTTCACTACAACAGGTTTGTGTTTAATGCAGTGATTATACTGAAAGTAATGATTAGTTTTGGTGGAATTGCCTTCATAACTCTGTTTTCTCTTGTCTAAGAATCAGATTTTACAAATTTTTAGAAAGTATTGGCAGTGCCTTTGATATTGTTAATTTAACCAGCTACTTTCAACCACTTGCTTGAGGAACTACTAAAGTAAACTGTAAATATTTACTGCCAGACTGAGAGGAAATAGTCTCTATTATCTCTGTAATAAAATTTGAATGACTCTGACATGACAAACGCGTACCCAGATGATAGTTTTTAAAAGGAGTTTGAAAATATGGTGATCAAACTATGCAGCATCTCTATGTATTTTTTATGCTATAATTATTTTCTACTTTTAAAGATGTCTGTTAGGGCACATGCAGTATAAATAAACATTTTCAGCCTCACACAGATTGTATAGAAAAAATTCTCACTGGTAATTCATACCACAGGCTGGTGTATACAGAGCAGTGACTTATTTCTGTGTGTCTGTGTCCATTTTCTTTTCTTTTTCTTTTTCTTTCTTTTTTTTTTTTTTTTAGCAAGCAGGAGACTGCCTTGTGTAGTTTGATTAGATTCATTCTCCTACATTTTTAGAGTCCTAAGTTTCCCTAAAAATACTCGGGGAGATGAGATATGATCATTCTGCTCTTGTTATGTTATGGCTTTTTGTTATGTTTTGGCTTTTTTTTAACCACATAGAATAGTTAACTCCAGGGCTTGGCTTTGCTTTATTTTATTTTATTTTATTTTTTGGTACCGTTTAACTCAGGACCTTGCACTTGCCAGGCAGGCACTTGTGTGGTTGAGCTATATCCCGGCCCCCAGGGCATTTTTAGATGACAATTTCTAGTCCTGTTTAGTGTTGTGTGCTTTCCTGCATTCCATTATGATAGTGTTTGTATTTCAATATGAACTGTACTTGCGCTGGGAGTGCCTTTTCACTTAGTGATCCAATATTGACATGTTTTAATCTATTGGGATTTGCTTTTTATTCAGAATGATTTGCAATGAGGAATGAGGAAATGAATTTAATTAATACTAGGACATTGTCAAGTAATTAATTAGTTATTTGATCCAGGGAATAGTCAAATTCAGGTTTTTGACATTTAATAGTCATTTTTAGACACACCCATGTTGGATGTAAAGTTTATAATACTTTATTTAAAGGACACAAGTAAGTCAAGTTGATGAAATAGAATTACATAATTCAGGAGAGCTGATTCTTATTTTTGCCTTTTGAACAGCCAAATGCTTATACATATATCTCTGAGCAAGCTACTTTTACTTTCTGGGATACTTCGCATCTCTAAAGTGTTATTCTTAGGGTTCCTCCCTGTGCTGAGGCTCTACAAGACATACATTGTAATATCAGGATTTGAATAAACTGACAATGCATTTAAAAGAAAAATAGGATATATGTTAGATTTAAAACATTTTTAAAAGTAGGGAAATCAAAGTTCTATTTAATTAATTATTAAACATTTTTGAGGATCTATTTGGCCAAGTACTGTGGAGAGTACTGATGATAAAACCACTGAACAAAACATAACAATGTATCCAACCTTTGAACTCATGGTGCTTCCTTAATCTTTTCTTTATATTAAGGAAACTGTATCTTGGAGATGCCCAAAAGAAGTTTTATCATCCACTTTGGGTGGTTTTGTTCATTATGAATTTCTGGAGTGCAGTCATTATAATAAATATAATCCTAAAGGCCTGATTGAAGATGTATAAGTCACTTATTAGGTTATTTATTTTGAAATAACTTAATGTTTGAGAACACATATGGAGAAACAGCTGGGAATTTTACATCGAAGGTTAATTTAGTAACTCATGCGTTTGGGCATTATTTTTATGAACCAGAATTGCTGGGGCTGGGGATTTAGCTCAGCAGCATAAGCGTCTGCCTTGCAAGCAGGCAGTCGTGAGTTTGATCCCTGGTACCGATAAAAAGGAAAAAGACAAAAAAAAAAATATATGCAGAATTGCTTAGTTGCTTCATCACTTTCACATCCCTTTTGGGTTTGCTGATGTCAGCCTGTCAGTGAAGATGCACTCGTAGACCAACTTGTTGGCAAGGTTTCCCTAAGATATTTTATTTTTTGTTTTTATTTTTAAAGAGGATAAAACAAAGGAAAATAAAACTAATCAAAATAAACCAGTAAGTGTTTACAGGGTTTCAAAACCTTATGAGATCAAGGCTTCCTTAAGATTTTTGTCAGAGAACTGCTAGTTGTTACTTTGCAGGTGGCTTTGATGACTTCAGAATCTTCCCAGAACAAAATGGCATGAAAAAAAGTAATGGAATTGGAAGGAGGGCAGATAAGGAGAACAAAGCTGATGACATGGGGAATTATCTTATACTGGAATTCAAGTGAAAAAAGGTCTAGTTTTGAAAAGAAAATTATGTTAATATATGTTTATGAAAAGATAAAAAGACATTAAAATTATGCTTTCTGTCTCTCCTGAAATTAAATAAAAATAGCTGTCCAACTTGTGTAAACCCTTAATGAAAAGTACATGTGATTTATCTGCAAGGTAGGATGTTTGATGATGTATGTATTTTAATGAAAGCTTTTTAATTTTGGGGCTCCAAGAGACTAAAAAGTTGTGAGAAGCAGACTCATAAGAATTATAAAATTAGATAAAATGAATGCCAGTAGTTAAATGTCACTGGCATTAGATGGCATAATTTGAACTCTGAATTCAGTAGCTGTCTCTCTATGCTTTATTTCTAATCATTGCAAAAATATGTCAGAATTTGACTAATCCCGTGCTGAGCTAGGAGTGAGATTCTGGGAAAGCCATTTCCTACCTTCCGTGAACCTTAGTTTCTTCTTTTGTGAAGTAGGATTAATAACTACCTTGTAGTTTTGTTATCAAAACTACAAGGAGCAGTATTCTTTGTAAAACTCCCTGAATTCAGTAAATAATAGTTTTAGGATGAGATCCATTCATTTCAACAAAACTTGAGCACCTCCTAGAGATTCTATTTTTTCCCTTTTTTTTTTGCCATTAATTAATTTACTAGTAACTTTGTTGGAAATGTTTGTAGAAAACCTCAGATGTTAAGTCCCTAAAAACATAAGGATAACAACATTTTATATTGTTGGCATAGCCATCCAATCCATTAAAGAATTAAAACAGCCCTTTTGTGACTCCTGGGCAATGACTCGCACATATACACAGGCATATATAATCATTCACGTTGAAACATTTCCATCAAATTACCTAATGCTGTGTGGCAATATGAAAACAAGGACAGTTACAAGTGGTAGAATGTTGTTTCCTCATAACTGATTTTAGATTAGAAAAGAAGATGAAAAACTACTTGTTTGAAAATTTCAGGCATTCTTCACTTTTTGCTTTCAAATTAATTTGTATATGTGTTGAAAGGGCTCAGCTGTGAGATGTAACAGATACCCAGTTAATGGGATATATGCTTGGCGTGTGTGTGGACTCTTTGACTACCAGATGTTACCATATAAGACCTTCATTTTAAAGATAAAATTTGACAG